GTTCGGAGACATGAACCCTCAGTATGAACCTGGGAAAAAAATTCCCTTCATTTGAAAAGAATTTTTGAAGGAGAGCAGCAAGGATATCGAGGATCGAAAGGTTAAGAAATGCCACTATAAGGGTGAGACTGGAAATAAAACAAAATATCCTAGAGGTGATGGTACGGCAATACGAGACGAATGGGTGACAAATAAATTAGTGGAAAATAATTATTGATTGGGAGGCAGAGGGTAGAAGGAGAGGAAGACGCACAGTTAGATGAAAAAAAAAAATAAAGATGAAAATTGTCAGAAATTGTTCATTACCCTCCCCACGATGAAGTCTCTTCACAAGTATTGTATCTTCAGTCCAGTTAGGGAGTTACAAAATAAATCCCGAAGAATACTTGATTTTATGAAAACCCGAACTTACCGTAATTTCGAGGATTCTTCGCGATTTATTTTGTAACTCCCTAACTGGACTGAAGATACCACACCTTCAGTAAAACTTTCCTGTTTGATGAGCTTCAAGTCTATATTAATTTTTTTAAATTTCGTAAAATACTTGATTTTATGAAAACACAAACTTACTGATTTTAACTGCTTAGAAGTCCCCTTTAAATGTTTTTAAAAAAGACAAGATTCACTTGTATTTGATGTAAATTTAATTTATTTTACTATGAAGTAATTTGTTGTAACCTAAATTAAATTAATTTTTTTTAGTTATTGCTTTTTATTTAACATAAACCGTGTTTGGCTTAAACATTACAAAATGTAAGCTTCCTGGTTCTCTGTATGTAATGAGACCACGGTTTATGGTAAGTTTTTATGTCTTTTATCATAATTATATGAAATTAATGTCAATCTAAACTTCATATCATTACCACGACATTACTCATTGATTGATATCGAATGTAATTCTGTCGTCAATGACTTTTAAGAATCATCAAAAGAATGAATAATAATTTGAACGATCGAAAATGTTATAAAAGCTAATTTAATTTCAAAAAAGTATCGTATACTATTAACAACATAAATTTCGTGGTTTGAAACGATTTTTGCTGAAAGTGGAAATACGATAAATATAATCTCATAAATATCTTCGCAACCATTGATTATGTAAAAAAAAAATGTATATGGTCATTTTTATAGAGATATTAATGTACTTCAATATTGTACTGAAAAATATTTGAAAAAAAAAAACTAACAGTTTTTTAGATATTCTCAAAGAATTATAAGTTTTCTGTCCTTTCTCCCCTCTCCCGTCAAAACCTGAAGAGGGATTCTTTGGGATTTTTTACCAATTACTATGAGGAGAGTAATGATCAATTTCTGACAGGTTTCATCTATATTTTTTTAATTTTGGAGTAAGGCTGTTTTTTTTCCCCAACTTTACTGGATTAACTGTCGGAGGTGGATACGATGGACCGGCAGAGATGGAGGAACCTGCTGAAGCAGGAGTTTGGTTGAGGAAAACTTCATATTGAAGAAATTCCTGAGGAAAAAAAATTAACCTGAAGTGTACATATATTCATAGATATATATCTATTTAAATTGATGAGCGTAATTCTTAAATAAAAATGAGCACATCTCATATTGATTACTTATAGTTAATAAATTGAAAACATTCTTAATTTTATATGAATAAATCTGTAAAAGTAGCATACGCATTTTATTTATATTTTATATTTTCCAATAACATATTTTATCAATTTATAAATTTACATATCTTTAATTAATTTTTTTTTTTTTTTTTGAGAGGGTGATTCGGATCAATAGATGCACATTTTTTGTGTAAAACAAAAATTATATTATGCTCCAACATATATATATTTTTTTGAGGAGTTAGTCGAGGGTGCGGTCAGATAAATACTAAATTAAAATATAGTAATTATTTTATTTTAATTTTGCCGACGTTACGACAAGACTACATCATTAAATATTTTTTTATTCAAAATTTACTCCTTGAGGCACAGGCGGATTTACGGGGGGGGGGGCTTTCGGGCTGAAGCCTCCCCCCCCCCAAAATGGTAAAATATAACCATGTTTTATAGAAAAAAATATTAAAAACTATCTCTTATATTATTATTGTTCGTGTGATTACATTTAATAGGACTTCAAGAATAACTAAGACACCATGTCATATGGGTAGTTAGTTTCTTTCTTTTTATTTTTCAAATTAATTATCGTTATATATATGAAAAAAAAAATCCTTCGGGGTCAAGGCCTCCCCAAAATTAAATCCTGGATCCGCTAGTGCCTAGAGGTAAATAATAAAACAACTTTATGAACTAATAATATAAATTCTTTATCATAAGTTATCAAACTATATTAAGCTATAATTAATGAATAAGTTTAACATTAAAAAATAAAAATAAAAAAACATTTTAATAGAACATTTTACACATATTATTTATTGAGTATTTATAATATTTTCTTTGACTCGTTAAACTACATATATTTTAATTTATTTCATGAATTTCTTGTAGTGTACATTAATTAAAAAAAATTATGGATGAAGTATAATTAGTAACTCATATCATATAAAATAAATATGTTTTATTTTATAAATTCCATTACAAAATTCCATATTTGCCAAAGAAATAGAGAAACTTGGACGAAGCGTGTTCAATATTTAAAGAGGTTAATGTGTCCATCTTTCTACGAATATAATGTATAATAATAATAAGCCCTAAGTTTGTTTCTTTTTTTCTATAAAACGAGTCGGAGTTGTAATTCTTCTTTCATAAGACCATCCTGTTACTATTTCCTAGGATCTCTCAAGGCAATATGCTGGGTCCCATACTCTTTACTATTTATAGACCTTCCCACTCGCATTCAATAATAGATCCCTGTGATAACTTAAGTTCATTCAACAAATAAAAAAACTTTCTATTCTTATCCACTAAAAACAAAACAGATTTTTTCAGTCTGCTGTTGTCGGACAAAGTTTTCTAATATGGAACTGATATGTGCACATCACACGAATCCATGAGTTGCGATGCTGATAACGTGGTGTGAAAAAAAAAAAAAAGTCAATCAAATCCATGTTGTATCCAATTTTATTAATTGCCCGTCTTTTTCGAAAACGGAGGAATTGCTAATCCAAAAATTAATTTCATTTTCATTTTAATATTAATTCATTCATTATAATTTTATTTTTAATAAACTTTTAAATCAAGAATCAGAAACAATCAATCGTGGCAATAGAGGCGATTATTGAGTCTAATTGCTATATAATAAATTTATGTTTTAATTAAAAATAAGCTTTTTCTAGGAAATTTATTGTTTTGATTTTTGTTTAATTAAGTTAAGAAATGACAAATAATAAATATACTGAAGTTATGTTGCCTTTTTATCCTCTTATCAAGTTTCGAAACTACAAAATCGAATAATTAAACTTTAAAGTTCTTTTAGCGAGCCTGACTAAAAGGAATACGGGTATAAACATTGTTTCCGACTTTTCATTAACTTTTCCTCTACATCTTGAGAACGTATGAAGGGAACTTCGCGGTTCAAACTATTTCCCGACTGTTCAAAGGTAGGCTACAATGAAAAGAAGTGTGGATTTATTTTTTTTATGTTTCTTTGACTTTTCCTATTAAACCTCGGGTGATCGATTTTTCACAGTCGAAACTATTTTAGAGTTAAACTAAAAAGGAAAGGGATTTGAAAATTTTTCCGACTTATCTTCATATTTCTTAAACTATTTCCAACTATTATAAGATAAGCGCGATTAAAATAAAAAAAAATTCTCGAATTTTCTCTCTGATATATCGTGAAACGGGATTCTATTTTTCACGGTTGAAACTATTTTATTCGTTTTTTAAAATAAGTACTTATTAGAAATATACTGTAATGATTATAATGACAATTGTAAAGACTTGAATTAATGAAATCATTAATCTTTTTAATGTTCTATTGAGAAACTAAAAAGAAAATAGGGAAAAAACATTCTTGGTATGCTAAAATTATGTAATTTAAAACATTGTGCCAAAGTTGTTAATTTGGTGAATAAAATTCTTAAAATATTTTTTACAAAAAAATTACATCGGAACTATTAAAACGGAATAATTAGGAAAATTTGAACACCTGATTTGCATCAACTAAAGCATAATCATAATTCACTAGAAATTAATCTGAAATTTATCATTTTTTTATGCATAAGAATATTTATTTTCTTGAAGAAAATCACCCTCGGAGCGTCTGAAATTTAAATTCTGCCCTGTATTTATGTATGTTATGAAATATGTATATATAAAAAATCTCCTATATATATATATATATATATATATATATATATATATATATATATATATATATATATATATATATATATATGAGATTTTTTAGAACAAAAAAATAACTTCACCCCTCAAAACGTTATTTGCAAGATTTTTCGTCTATGTGACAAACATCATTTGATTGGGTGGTATCAATAGAAGCTGTTCCTTGTAATCCATATTGAATTTAAATTGGGCTTATTACTAACAGTTCCTAAGACGCGAAATGTTGAAAAATAAAATAAAAAATTGATTGGTGAAATTATTTTTCTGGTCTCGAAAATTCCTATTAAATTGTGTCTCTTCATCTTAAGCATACATATTCTACTGTATGTACATTTTATTTTTTTAAATAAAATACATCAGTATTGTATTGTTAAATTTTAAGTTCAAACAAACCCGTTATAAATTAATTAATTTATGAATACAAAATCAATACAATAATAAATGTGATTTCCTATACATAAATATCCCATTGATCATAGATTCAATTTAAGTGTGAAATATTTTTTCTCAAAATATAGGAAAATATTTTTTTTATTGAAAATGTGATTATTTGTTATTAACATGAGCAAAGGAAAGACCAGTGTTTAATTATGGACTGAGAATAAGATTTTTTCATGGACAAGTTTTTTTAAATTATTATTTAATTTTGGCGGGGGTGAGAACGAAGTCAATCGATCATTAAGTACGTTAGTCGATTGTCTATATTAGTCGATTTGTTGCAGCAGGGTGGTAGGGTGACGTAATGTGCGCATGCTCAATGGAGCCCCAACTCCCACCACGCCTGTTGTACTATTTAAAACCATATATGCTCTCCGGCTGGTTAGTCCTTGTCGAGACAGGTTTGTGAATTCATATATATAGTATCTACGTTCAGTGTATTACATGGCTGACAGTGGTGTGAAGAGGAACATCCCCATCAAATTACGCGACTTCAGTGTCATCGACTCAGAATTCAGCAACATACGAGAGCGGTTCGATGCTGAAATGAGGAAAATGGAGGAGGAAATGACAAAGTTCAGGTCGGAGCTGATGAACAGAGAATCCAACTTCTTCAGGACCACTACCAGGTAGGGACCTGTATTTTTCTTCAAGTAATTATATATTTCATGATCACTAAACATCTATCTCTTCGCAAATTCACGATCATACCTACATTGACGTTTTGTTATCATTATGATTACGTGCTTTCATAAGCCGGCACTGCATTTTTTCATATGCTGTACATATAACTATAAACATTACTGCAATGTTAATTCATAAGCACAGCATATCAAGTTCTTTACACCCATTTTTTGATTATTTTTTCTGCTGTGAAAATATGTCAGTAGTCACAGAGCAGCAAAATTTGATTACTGTTTTAATAAATTTGAAATACTGCCAAATTTCACAAGTCAGTGGAATTTTTGCCAAGATTAGGATCTCTTTAATATTTTCATGGATTTACCATGTAGAGGCTTTTATAGTTACCTTATTTAAAGCATAGTTTAACTTATCTACCAAATACACAAACCAAAATGGATTATTTCTAGTAGATTGTGAAAAAGTTGATAGACTAAGGTGTTTAGTACCCCATTGGTTAAGAATAACGTAGCTCAGAATAGATCAGCTCGGGAACCACTTGAGATTTTATTTCTCTGATCACATACTTCCCTTTGAAGTAGATATTATTTATTTCATTGTGATGGTCATGTGTTAAATATATATATTTACATATGTATTATTTAATCAACCCATTATAGACTTTAAATCTTTTTGACTTGTCTATTGTGTAATAACTTATTAAAGATTGACATTTAATTTTAAGGAATTGAATTCACTTTATTTGTATTACCTGTCTCGCGTACATTGTCTAAGGTATACATTTACAAACCAGTAACTGAAAATCACATTAACATATCAAGATATAACAAACCTCTGTCAATTTGACACCAATAGGGTGATTTGTTATATATTGGCAATGTTATAGCCAATTTAATTATCAGTGTAGATAATACAAAATTTGTGAATATAGTTCTTTATGTACATTTTTTTTCTTTCTTTTTGTTTTATACTTATACAAGTTTCATTTTCATAAATTATTAATTATATTGCATTATTAAAGTCTGTGCTTTTTACATATTTTAATTAATTAATTAATTATTATTATAGTGATATAAACAATACTGTTGAAATCAAAATTATTTGTATAACATTTTTTACTTAAAATATTCTTGATTAATAGGTACTTATTAATTATTGGTTGATTTTTATATATATTCTAAAGTTCTTAGTTATTTAAGTATGTGATGAGAAACTTCATTAGGAATAAATTATAATGTTTCAGAATTATCAATATTTTCTTTGTTAATTTTTATTTATTTTAACCAGTGATCTTATTTTCCAATTCATTCAGCCTGAATTAATTTATTTTATTTAAATTTTGGTGAAGTACATATTAAAAAAATCTTCCTTCGGTTTTTCATTTTAAAAAAAGTTTTGGTTCTATATTGTTTTCTTTTCAGATATAGATAACATGTATTTTAATAATTTCAAACTTAGTTTTTATTTATTTAACATTATTTTCTTTAATGTTTATTTTGAAATTCCATCTTAAATATTTATATATTAAAAAAAAAAATGGTATTGCTTTGTTTTAAAATATTTAAGTTTAGTTGTTTTGATTTTGAAACTATTTCAACTATTAATTAATTCCATTTTGAATTTAAAAAAGTGAAATTAATCCGTACCTGTGTTTGTGGTTATACCAATCGTCCAGTATTTTTATGTTATTTGCTTTATGATAATTATTATGTGAATGCTTTCATTATGGATCGTGGTCCTCCTTCCGAGAATCAAGGTAAAATAAATAAATGCTTAGTTCTTTTATGTCCTTTTATTACTTATTTATATAGTTCCCATAGTTGGATGTTCTGGAATGTTTAGCTTTTTTTTTCTTTTTGGTTTATGATTAGTTTTATAACCAATATTTTTATTAGCAAGATTAATCTTCTTTATTTCCATATACTATTACCGACATTATTCAGTAAAATTTTGATTAGTTTTTACTTAAAATTCTGATTTCTAGTTTATACCTTCACTATTTTAGTTAAGAGTTAGATCATTTTAAAATTATCATGTTGGAAATGTGATTGTTTTTCGTAAATTTAAAACCTTATTTTTGCTGTAAGAGTTATAGTATGGGTACCGATTTCTCTGTTATGTCTGAGCATATGAAAATTTGTTTAAATTTCGTTTCTGAAAAAAAAAAAAAAAAAAAATATGGCCATATTTCCTATATTTCAATCAAATAAATTTGTTTCTTCACTTTTGAATTATTTACATTATCACTTTTAGTTCTTTTAATCAAAAAATCAAATGCCAGTTATATCAATTTTAATTGTTTACATCTGTTCTGATTAAAATTATTTAATCATTTATTAATAATAATTAAATAATAAACATTCCTTTGTTTTAAATTATTGCTGAAATAACTGAAGAGGAACTGTGACTAGAAAACCTACCATATAAACTTAACAAAAAAATTGTATTTTTTAACATTAAGGCATTGTCTCCATCCCTATTGGACTATTTGAATGAAAGCTTATATTTTTGGTTTTCAAATGAAATTTAAGGAACATTTCGGAATGTTGATTATAACTTAGGGTTTGTAGTATGAAAGGTAGGTATCTAAGTTGTGGTGGTTCTCAATGTTCTATTTAGCTTTTGGTTGTAAAAATCTTTGTCTTATTTTAAATTTTGCAGAGCTATAACAATTTTTCATTTGATTTTTTAAAAACAAAGAATTTGGCCATCTAAAAATTGTATTTGAATTTTTTTATAATCGTTGTTGAGAACCACTGATTTATTGAATTTGATTGAATAAAATTAGTAGAAGCTTAGTTTTTTTTTTTTTTTTTCAATTGATAGTGTAATTTTGTTAGTACATAACATTCTTCCTATTGAGTTTGTTTTTAAGTTGCCCTGTAAAGCATGTTTAAATGTATCACAATGTTCATGCTCATACAATAATTAATAACATTTTAGTCATTTTTACTATCATTCATTAGACCAACATTATGTTGATTTATTAATTTTCTTAATTTGTATATTGCTTAAATAAGTATTTATTGGATAGAAAATTAGGAAGTTGGATTCAAACGTGAATAAAATATATTGTTTACTTCATTTATTTACTAATATTGTTTATGATTCTTAATTGTATTTGTTAATGAACACAGATCTTATTTAAGGATACTTAAGTTATGGTAATTGCATGTCATATTCAAATAATGAATATCAGTTTATTTTAATTATATGAGTGACCACATATCAATGACAGACATCTGTCATTTTCAGAAAGTGGAGAAAAGTCAAGTTTTGTTTTATAGGTTCAACCCAAACTATTTCAGATCATTTTATTTAAGAATGTTCAAGTTGAATCATGAAAATACATCATTAACATCGATTTCAATTGAACGTATGAAGACAAAGATTATTTTCTCACAACTTTTTAAAAACGAGAGATGTCTATCTTTGATATGATGCCACCCATATATGATTTCAATGGAATATTAATTAAGTATTAAAAATCTTGAACATTAAAAAGCATGCTCAACTTATAACCACTTGGGATAAATTGCAGTTTAACTATCAAATGTTAATATGAAATTGGAATAATTTTATTTCAGCTGTTAAAATAAAATCTTGCTTCATGATGTAAATATGCTACATATAATAATCTGTAACACTACTACCTGTTCAGAAGGCCTAATCATATAAAGAAATATGGATTGCTGATTGTTAATATAATTTGAGGACTTTTTTTTTTTGTGGGTTACCATTGATTATTCTCACTCAATGAATTTTATTTTATTGTTCTATTTCCTACCCATCACTATTCTCTTAAATATTTTAATTCTTTAAATGGTTGTTATCATTAATTATTTCATTAATTTATTTACTATGAAACCATATCTTCATACCATACATTTCTAAACTAGCCCTTGAATTTAAAACTGTTAAAATGTTTGTATTGATGCCTCTCTCTATGTATGACTCAGTTACTCTTAAGAAATTAAAAACCTAATTAATTTGGGTAATCTTTGTTTTAAATTCATTTAAACTTTTAATTTTTTTGGGGGGCAGTATATGTCTCTTCAGTAACTAGTATATGATGGTTATTTAATTAATTTTGAAATGGCTTATTTATCCTTGCTATCTTTAGTATTAATTGCTTAATTTTTAGTAATTTAAGGTTCAAAGAAAAGTTTATTACTCTATTATTCTTAAATTATATTAAACAATATTGTTGGTACAAACTTTAAAAAAAAAATGTTTTTTGTTCTCTCTTTTTATATTTGTGTGTATAATTGTCTGTTATGTAAATATAACTCATATTTTCTGTTTGTTTATTAAATAAAAGTATTAGGGACATGAGTTAGTAGAGAGAGTATTCATATTCTTATTTTATTCAAATCATTAAATTTATTTATTGGTGAAATTATTATATTAAATACTGTTTTATGTTAATTGTACTCTCATTATTTATTTGATGAAATAATTGTATGTAAATTTTATAATACTTATCTTAACAGTTAAGGGCGGGAAATAGGGACCACAATGTGTTTATATTTTGACTTCATTTTTGATTCTCTGATTTTTCAATTTAGTTTTTCTGTTCCGCCCAAGGCCAAAATATTGCTAGAGTTTTTGCCAGTTGGTGCTGCTTAATTTTGTCACCCCTTCTCACCTCCCTCCTCCCCTTGCTTCAATAAAAGTCAACATTTTTTTAGGTTACGCAATTGGTAATCAATATCATCATCTAATAAAATAACTACTCACTTTATTGTCTGATTTAAGTTCAAAACAATCTAAAAGCAAAATCAAATATCTTTTATTTATTATAAAAATAAAATATTGTTCTAAATTTGTAACCCTCTATATACTGCCTCACGGGGGAACTACTGCAGTCTTCATATTTGGATAGATATGCCCTGATGTACTATTATATTCATGTCCCATGCCAAAGCTTGCATACTTTCATTATAGTTGCTGATTTAGGATTTTCTAATTTACTTCATTTTTTATCCAATCTTGTTGTAGTCTGATATATATTAAGTTAATCATAATTGTTTTACTAAAATGTTATTTAAATCTGTATCATTTCAAAAATGTTTTTCGTCATGTATCAAAAATATCTTATTTCATCTCAGTTCTAACTTTTATGATCATTGATTGAGATCTTCTATTCTTGGAATCATGCACTGCTTTAAAATTAGTAGATATATATATATAATGCAAATATTAATCCATTTCTTAATTCTTGCAAACATTTACTTAGTAATAAAGATTTCGTTTGTACATTATAATAATTTAGTGAAATATATATATATATATATATATATATATATATATATATATATATATAACCTTGAAAACATGAAAATTTGTTTGTCCGACCTTTTATCATTTTTTATACTTTGTCGTAATCCTTTTCATTATATAGAAATTTAGGAAAGTGAGGTAGCCTAATAATTTCAGTAACTGGATTTCCGTGATAAAGATTTTTTGGTGATACATGACAGATGGAAATTAAGGCTTTTATCATGGTAGAGATAGAGGTTTAAAACAGTTCCTTGGTCTAATTGGATATAAAATGAATTGATAGCACTAGTTAAAGGATAAATCAGACAGTTAAAGCTATTGCTGTCCTCACTAGCATCACTACCATACATTTGAGAATTAATTATCACATCATGTGTTGTAGTACTGATTTATTTTATTTTTTTATTAACATTTGATTCGCTGAATACCAACAAATTATTACCTGTTATTTTTATTAATTTTAATGTCACAATTTAAAATAAATATTAGAGAAAATGTTCTTGTTTTTATATTAATTAATTTTTATTATAAATTATATTAGTTATTGCTCATAATATATTTCATTTTCAGCTCGAGTACTAACTCCGTTTCATCAAGCACAGGTGGTGGTCTTAGCGCTGACAAAGGACAAAACTGGCTCCAAGGCTTGAATTCCCCATTAATTCAAGAGGAAGGTGACAATAAAATGTTGAAGCTAAGGTTTGATGTTAGTCAATACCAACCAGAGGAAATCGTGGTCAAGACTGTTGACAATAAACTTCTTGTAAGATCTAATTTTAATTCATATTTTCTTAAGAATCGGAAGGGTCCTTTATTTTCGTTTTCACATTATTTTTATAACAATTAAAAAAAATTACTGTTAGTATTTAAACTTGCACAATTCATGTTAATGTACCATTCATTGTTCTATACAGGTTCATGCTAAACATGAGGAAAAAACAGAAAGCAAATCTGTTTATCGGGAATATAACAGAGAGTTCCTGCTTCCCAAAGGCACTAACCCTGAATCTATCAAATCTTCTCTGAGCAAAGATGGTGTTTTAACTGTTGAAGCCCCCCTTCCTGCTCTTGGAGGCCCAGATCATCTGATTCCTATCACTCAGCACTAATGATAAAACAAACCAACATGCACTGCTTTAATATGAAAAAAGAAATGTTCTTTCATGAAATTTGAAATGAATGATTTATTTTATGTTTAGATTTATTAATTTTGTCATTGGTATAATATAGAAGTCATTAATTGTACCATGACATTACAAGTCTTTATTTTTGTTTTAAAGCTTAAAACTGTTTAAATATTAAATTTTTATTTATTTTTGAATTAGCTATTTATGTATAGCTTGTTACTTTAAGATGATATTGAGGTTATTATATATTGTAATGAAACATAAAATCTAATTTTGTTTATTTAAGTTCTTTATGAGATATGTTATGCTTGATGGTGCTTAAAAGCAAAGGGCTTTAAAAAGTTCATTTTCTAACACCTTACTTCCTAAATAGGAAAAAGAATTTTCGTCAGAAATAACATATTTTAATACACTGAAAATACTTTTAAAATAAATGTAATATTCTTTAATAAAATTCTCTTTTTGTTTTCCTATCCCATCAATTGTTTATTTAGTTTATGTATTTTCATTTTTTTTAAAATGATGAAATAATTAATATAAATCAAAAGACTACCTTTAAATATAAAGTGTAGTATTTCTCTGCTTTTGGATGTACAGGAACTCTCAACTTCTTATTTATATTGGAATTCTCAATGTAAAGAGAGAAAGTCTTCATCAATTTATATTATTAAAAATTAATAATTAATGTAAACTATTAATTGATTAAGTTTGCTATGATCTAAAGGCATAAATGTTTTACAAGACATTCTGTTTTATAATGATAAAAGAAAACTTCTTTCACAAGATAAGAAAAGAATGATTTATTCATTACTCTTATTTGATTTAATTGTCTTAAATTAAATTAATATGTTTAAACCCAAATTATTCATTGAAATTCTTTATATTTCTATATACAGTGGTTCACAGTAAAATTGATACACCCTGTAGAAAAATAGAAAAAATACTTCAGTGGTAACAATAAATAAATAAAACCAGAAACTCTTTCACAAATTTATTTATAATCCCATTTTAAATATTTACAAACTCAATAAAATTTAAATATTTAACTATAATTATTTAAAAACAAATTAATAAAAAAACTATAATTTTACCTCAGTCATAATCGTGTACCTCTCTTCTTTTCAATGCTATTAATTTAGTCTAGGCAAACCATTATTTTCTACCACTCTTTTCAGGAGATTTTTTTTTTTTTACTTTTTTGCTAGAAATTTGTTTTTTTTTTATTTTGAACTTAAATTTCGCTCACATGTGTTCAATCACAATAAGATCTGGCGACTGTGGTGGAGTCTTTATAACTTTGGGGCAGTTATAAAGTAGCCATTCCTTAGGTAACAATGGCAGAGTGTTTGGTGTCATTATCCTAATAAAAACTAAATTTGTTTTTTTAGCCCCAGTTTTTCTGCAATGTTTTCAAGTTTCTTCTCAATATTTCTAAGTAAAGATGTTTATTCACTTAGCCATGTGAATATTTACACTATAAAATGAAGATTTCCTACACCAGAAGCCGCCATACATTCTCACACCAAGAAGCATAACATAAGTAAATAAAACTTTACAAGGATGTTTATTTATTACAAAAAGTTATTTTTAGTGTTAAATAAATTGAAATATTTATTTAGTCAATAATTTCTATCAATATCCAGATGTATCACTTTGTGAGCCACTGTATGTCTACTTATTATTTCTGATCTATTTGTTGACTGCTGAGTGGTTACAATTGTTACTTCCTAAAGGCATAAATTATTATTTAAATTTAAAAATAATTTATTATAAATGTTAATTCAATAGAATAGAGATAAATATGTTTATTTTGTAATATTTACAAGACTTTCAAATACCCTCAAATATCAACTTATTAAACAATAGAAATAGTAAGTCTGTTGATATGTTTTTATATCAATTACAACATTTAAAATCTTTATTTGTTTTGAGAGAAGAACCTCATACAAATAGTCTACCTCTATATTATAAACATTACTATCCTTATAGTAATAGATAGATAGATAGATAGAAAAAAAAACTTTATTCTGGGACTAAGTCCCTTCAGAATAACAATAATGTACAAAATAATAGAATATTACTGGCCTGAACGTTGAAACAACAAATAAAATTAATAAAATAAAATAAAAAGTAAAGAAAACCTTAGGTGCACAAGCTATATACAATACAGATAAAACTATGTACAGAGCATTTAAAATTATGAACAAAACAATTAAAACTATGAACGAATCACTTGAACTATGAAAAAAATTATATTTAAGGGTTGAACAACATAAACATACACTTTGAGAAATGAAGAACGAAAAAGAGATACAATGAGTTCATTTCATAAAAAAAAAAAAAACTACTTGAATATATATATATAAAAATAAACAGTTAATTATAATTGAATAAAAAAAAAAAATGTATGTATTGAAATTCCTACGTCGATAGTAGGAAATGCATGAACTATCTCTTACCTAGTGTTATGATTATATGATTGCTACACAATACATATATCAGTCTGGCCAGAGACGGCGTACAGTTCACATCACTCCCGTGAAACTCAGTCATTTTTTACACAAACCAATCTATTTCATAAAATTTTCTACAGTGATTTCTCATAATATTATTTTTGTTTTTAATCCACCATAGTCGCGTCTTATATTTATTTACGAATCATTATACATAGAAGAAAGTTCGTTAACCAGCTGCGGCGGAGAGAGAAGTAGCTAATTCCTTTAAGCCGGAGAATATTAAAGGCCATCTACACGCCTAAGTTGATAAACAACACTTTTCTTACGTAAGTAAATATTTTTTTTCTGTCAACAAAATGCTGCAATGCTCAACTTGTGACGGCCTTATCGTGAGAGACGATAAATATAATATAACCTGTAATAAATGCCGAGTAATATTTCACGGCAAATGTTGCAATTACATTGAAAAGGATATTGAAGTTATAAAATTGCAAAAAAAAAAACCGTGGCTATGTAAAAAGTGTGAGCAGGGTGAAAAGGCTACCCCACCTAGTGATAAGTTAGCCAGTCCATCCAAGAGCGACACCAGAGAACCCTCCTCATCGGATATTCTCCTAGCCGTCAACAAGCTCGGTGAACAGGTCAATGAGGATATTAAAAATTTAAGAACGTCGCTCGAGAAGTATGGTGAGCTCAGTTTCGAGTTGAAGGAGAGGTTCACAAAAATAGAAGGACACCTCGAAACCCAAGCGAAACACCTAGAAGAACTCACCTCAGAAAATAAGATGCTGAAAACCAGAGTAGGCGAACTTGAGGTGCGTGTTAACAAAGCCGAGCAAGGTCTACTTCGTAGATCAATAGAAATTCGTGGCATCCCGGTACGCGCGGGAGAGACTCCATCGGCCTTGGTAGCCAGCGTGGGAGCCGGCCTCGGGATTAAGATCAACCCAGAGGACCTCGACTTTTTGGAGCGACAGAGACCAAGAAAAGATGATCCCCGACCACCACCCGTGATTGCTCGTTTTGTGAGGCAGTCTGTACGCGACGGCTTGGTGCAAAGAAGAAGGTAAAAAGGGACTTTTCTACTAGAGATATTGGTTGGCAAGAAAACGACTCCCACCGAATATATCTCGGCGAAGAAATGTCTCCTATGAATAGACGTCTGTACTGGCTCGCCCGCCAGAAGAGAGCAGCAGGCAAATTAAAATACTTATGGTTTGCAGGGGGTAGAGTTCGTTGTAGAAAAGAAGATGGACACCCGGTGATCTACATCGATCAGCCACAAGATCTTGACATTTTCTGCTTACGGTTCGACATTCGTCAACTAGATGGTCATAATTGGGAAATGTTAAGCGTTGCCTACTATAAATCACTTTGCCGTATTATGTTACTGTTTTACCAATATTTTTTCTCTAGCACAACTGACGTAATCTTTTATTTTATCATGTTTAGTCTTTTTTATCATTGCTGCATATTATTATTATTATTTGTATTTAGCCATTACTTGCTTCTTTTTAAATGTTATTCATTATATTTCAGCTGCCTTTCATCATATTTCTCTATTTCCTATCGAACATGAGTAGTATCCTGACCTCTTGTCATGTTAATTCACAATCCTTACCAGCCCATTTCGACGAATTTCAGCAATATTTTACCTGCAATTTTTACCATACTATTGCAGTTTCCGAAACATGGCTAAAACCCTACATACCTTCCTCTTCCGTTTCCTTACCCGATCACACCTTTATCCGCCATGACCGGATTACAAGAACGGGAGGTGGTGTGGGTCTTTACGTCCATAATAGCCTAAAATCCCGTACCCTAGATGTCTCACCCCCTTCCAAATGTCCCCACATGGAATACCTTTTTGTTGAAATTTCCTTTAAAGCCCATCTTCTCCTGTATGTTGTAGTATACCGCCCTCCTCTGGTACCTTTCGATCCATCCTTCGAATCAACCCTATACAAATTTATCCCATTTTACAGTAACATAATAGTTTCCGGTGACTTTAACGCCAATCTCCTTTCCGATTCCTACGATAAACACTACCTGGAAAACCTTTTCTACTCCCTTAACCTCTTTATAGTGCCATTTGCTCCTACGCATCACACTTGCTGGTCTGATACATGGCTGGACCTGTTTATCATCGATTCTGCGCAGAACCTTTTGTCCTCGTCCCAACACCCTGTTCCTTTCTGGTCTTCACATGACCTCATCCAACTATCATACAATATCCAGACCCCTGCGATCCTTCCTAAAACAATAACCTACCGTAATATAAATTCCCTAACCCGTGAAAGCATCTTACCCGATATCGAAACCCTGAATTGGAATGATGTTTACACCAGCTCCTCAATTGATACCATGGTAGATATCCTGACTTCTAATCTCCTCCATATCCTTAATACCCATGCCCCACTTAAAACCTCTACATTCCGCCGCCGGCTTGCTCCTTGGATGTGTCAAGAAATTCGAAATATGCAAAAGAGACGTGAGGCAGCCCGTAGACGCTTTAGAAGAACCAGACTTGCAGATGACTAGGAAGCGTTCAGGGTACTCCGTAACTTGACGCAAACAACGATCAGGCTGGCGAAAACCAATTACTATCGTGAAGCCTTCTCCTCGGCTCCCGATTCCAAATCCAAATGGAATTTACTCCGAAAGCTGTCTCTTAGCAAATCATCTTCTTCCACAGCTGTCCCAGTCTCTCCTGATGCTTTAAATTCTTACTTTTTATCCTCCTCCTCTAGTAATATTTCTCCCGCCTCTTCCCACATATCTGTATCATCTGCATTTAATAGTGACAATTTTTATTTTTCCTACATCACTCCTATGAACCTTATTTCCTCCATAATGAAATCCCAATCCGACTGTGTAGGAATTGACGGAATACCCGCCAAACTGTTAAAACTATGCCTCCCTGAAATCCTTCCAGTTCTTCTATTCATTTATAACTTTTCCCTTCAAAATTCTGTTTTCCCTACATCTTGGAAAAAAGCCTTAGTCCGTCCTATAAACAAAATCCCTAACCCCACATCTCCTAAAGACTTTCGTCCAATTTCCATCCTATCAAATCTGTCAAAACCCCTCGAAAGAATTGTCCAATCCCAAATTTCCAATTTTCTTGAAGAGTTCAAACTTTTAGATCCTCTCCAATCTGGCTTTCGCCCGGACTTCTTCACTCAATCCGCTTTAGCCAAAATCACTAACGACATACATACTGCAATTGACGAAAGAAAACTGACTCTATTGGTACTCCTGGACTTCTCCAAAGCATTCGATTCCTTAGACCATTCTGTCCTCTACACTAAATTAAAATCACTATCCTTCTCCAATAGTTCTATCCTATGGTTCCAATCCTTCCTTTCTGACAGGACTCAAGCTGTTAATATTCCGAATCAACCCTTATCTTCTTTCCTCACTTTGTCTCATGGAGTAGTCCAGGGTTCAAGCATTTCTCCTATCCTTTTTAATTCTTACATCAATGACCTTCCTAGTTCAATCCACCATTGTTCATACCATCTATATGCTGATGACTCCCAAATTTATCTTTCCTTTCCGCCCATTGAGTTATTAGACGCGTTTGTGAATATTCAGAAAGACCTAGATAGGATCAGTGCCTGGGCAAGCTTAAATAATTTAAACTTAAACGCATCAAAAACTCAGGCAATTCTTATAGGTTCCGACTCCCTCCTTAGATCCATCTCCACCCTTCCTTCGTTGATTATTAATGACCAACCAATCTCCTTCTCCCTGTGAAAAACTTAGGAATTACCATTGATCAAAACCTATCATGGAAACCCCATATTGCTCAAATCTCCAGAAGGTCTATTGGTACTCTTAAATTATTTCATCGTTCTCGTCAGCATCTCCCACAACCTATCCGCAGGCTCATCTTTTCCTCATTGATTTTCCCCTACTTTGACTATGGCTGTGTGGTATACGGCGGCCTCTCGTTGGAGCTTGAGGACAGACTGAAGAGAATCATGAACTGTTTTTTAAGATTCGTCTTCGGCACTTCGAGATGCATCTCATGTGTCCCACCTATATGCCGAATCAAAGTGCCTCTTCCCATCCTCCCGCCGCCTATACTTCCTTGGAAATTTCTTATACCAAACGATCATCTCCTAGCACCCTTCCTATATCTGTTGTCTCCTCCAGCCTAAACCCTTAGTCCACTCAATAAAAACGAGATCCCGTGTTTCTGACCTCTATATTCCTTTCCACAGGACAAAAACCTATGAACGTTCCTTCTTAGCCCGCTCCGTCTCCTATTGGAATTCTTTGCCACATAACATCCGTCATGCCTCTTCCCTGTCAACTTTCAAATACCTCCTTTTCCAATATCTCCTTACATCCAAAACAGAAGATTTACCACCATAAATTTCATTTTATGAACTGAATTTGTGTGAAGTAAATAGTGGTGCCTACTGTTTAAGTTTTCACATAAAACAGCAATGATCTTTGTCACCTAGTTTGACTATTATTTTTACTATTTATTTATTTTTCTCTTCTCCTCAGGTTGTGCTTTTTTTTTTTTTTTCGGGTATATATGTTCATATTTTATATCTTTGTCTTTATGTGTGCCAATATGAGAATGTACGTATAAATAGTTCCTTTTAGTTATTTTTTTTCCGTTACACCACAAGTATCGTAAGACTATTTTATCTTAGTGTCTGCATATTATTATATAAACCACTGTAGATATTATTTCATTTTGTATTAAGTTAGTTTTCAATTAGATAGCCTATTATTTATAAATTGTGTTATTTATACATAAATATGTAATTTCTCTTCTTTTTTTTTTTTTCATCACATTTAAGTAATTTTGAGAAGATTTTATGTTCATTTGTATATATATTTTATTTTTTATGTTTTACTGGTTAAATACTTTTTAAATAATGTATATAATATTAAAATTTTTAGAAGTTAGTTTTTGGCCAGATTTGTACTTTACTTTGTATTAACTCATCATTGTTATTCTAAAGGGACTTAGTCCCAGAATAAAGTTTAATTTTCTATAAAAAAAAAAAAAAAAAATATTAATAGTTAGCTGGTATCTGACTGTTTTTGGAACAGGAATTGGCATAGGAGGTTTTTGAATGTGTACAGGGAAGGGGCATGTCGAATTTTGATCGGGAGGGAATTCCAAAAGTTGACAGAGCGGGCTATAAAGGAATTTTGGAATGAGGCAGATCTATGAGAAGGGATGTATAAGTCAGAGGGTCGGGATCTTGTAGTGAGGGAATGGATTGAGGACTTAAATTGGAGAAGGTTGTAGGCATAACAAGGACGATGATCGGTAATGATTTGATAAAGGAAAGTGCCTAGGAAATATTGTCTTCTTAAGGAGGGAAAGAGCCACCCTAACTCAGTGTAGTGGTGGGAGACGCGGGAGCGTCTCGGGGTCCCAATTACAAATCTTACGAAGCTATTCATAAGTCTCTTGAGTCTATCACGGAGTTCCACCGAGAGGCCATCGTACACCACACAGCTGTAGTCAAAGTGGGGAAAGATGAGAGAGGAAACTAGGAGTCTACGGGTATTTTGGGGTAGAAGATGGCGGAAGTGATGGAATAGTTTGAGGGTAGAAATTGCACGGCGGGATATATGAGAGATATGGTGATTCCAGGAAAGGGTTTGATCTATGGGAAAGCCTAAATTTTTAACAAAGGGATAGAAGGTGATGGGGTGGTTGTTTATATAGAGTGAGGGAAAGTTGGTGTGGGATCTAAGGAGGGGCTTGGAACCAATGAGAATGGCCTGAGTTTTGGCAGCATTTAGCCTTAATCCATTTAAGTTGGCCCAGGCACTAATTCGATCTAAATCTTCTTGAATTTTGGCAAATGCCACCAATAACTCAGCGGGAGAAAAGGATAAATAGATTTGAGAATCGTCGGCATAAAGGTGGTGGGAACAATGGATAATTGAATCATTTAGGTCATTAATACAAGAGCTGAAAAGAAGAGGAGACATGCTTGAACCCTGTGAAACTCCTG